ACCTCCACGCAGACACTCCAGGCGAAACCCTTGCTGGAACACCAATCTTGGGTGCGTGTTACCGCTACAAAGAAGCGAGTCCCGGGTTAGACCAGACGCCGTCAGCGCTGTCTGTAGGGCTGCCTCGTCGATGACGGCCGGTATGCGATTCGGCGCATCTCCTGGACTGAAACTACCTTGGCTACTAAATAGCCTAGCCAATCTTTCGACGTTTTCCTCATTCAAGTTTTTAGAGTTAGGAAACTCGAGGTTCTGGATACTCACCGCCGCTCTTCCAACGTACTTAACAGTTTTCTCCGCACTTATGCGGCGAGACACCGCTTGAAATCCACTCCTAGACATGCTGTGTAAAAGTATAGTGCGCGTACAATCCAGAAAGAGTAGACATAGAAGTATTAGTAGGGGCGAGGGAAACTGACTTTATGTAACGGACGCCAGCTGGAGAATCGGCCAGAAACTGCCACTCAACTGCGGCTATCCCATAAGAGCACAATCTGACGGCTTTTCCTTGTCGGCTGTCATTCATGCACTCTATTTAATCTGAGATATCATTTGATCGTACAGATATTTGCCATTAGCATATACGATACATGGCGAATATGAGTGAGCGTCGCGGCAAAAGACCTTCCACGCACATTGACCTGCAAGATGCTCTTGCGCGAGCTACCCCGGAAACAGATCGTCGAATCGAGGGGCCCAACAGCGGGTCGCTTGATAACCGCTTCCCACCGAAGCGGTCTAAAAAGAAGAATCAAGATGCATTCATGCCCATTGGAGTTCATCAGCAGTCCACAAAAAGTGACGCCGGTTTGATAGCGGCACCACCCCGGACGCCCAAATCGTCATGGCAGACCTACGAGAAACTATTTGACCTTCAACTCGGAGACAGCGACTACTTTACTGTAGCAGAAAAAAAGGACCCAGACGTTGAAAGCAATTCTGTGGTGATCCTCAAGACTTTTACGGGCACAAAGGCAGAAAGCCATGTGCAGGCGATACGGGGGATCCAGCACAACCGCTTTGTCAACGCTCACCTCTTTTTTGCCATAGATGATGGATACCTCGTTTCCTTCGAGTTCATGCCTATGGCATTGTGCGAAGTTGCAGGTAATCCTCTTCTGAATGACCTGCGACTGGCATCAATATTGGGACAGGTGAGCTGTGTTCAAACGCATATCAGTGTCGCCGTCTAAAGCGCCGCAGATTGTCGAGGGACTATTATATCTCGAGCAGAAATCCCTAGAACATGCGCAACTCACTTGTTCTAATATCTTAATCGATACCCTCGGCAACGTCAAGCTATGTATATACGCCTATAGACTGCAACCCATTCCCCGCTGACTGCTGGCCAGGGGGCCAAGAACACATTCGAAGCTCAACAGCAGCGTGCCCGCATGCGAAGGCTGTCGGGGAAATCATTATGTACCTTGCACATGGGCAGGCGAACGAATCTGGCAATGTCGGGCTGGATGATCCCGGACGGTTCCCGCTGACCGTCGAGTTTCTTTCTGCGACGCAGAGAACTTCTAAGATAGCCTCAATCGCACAAGTAAGTCGCCCTGATGTCGTGCAAAGACCCATTACGGCGCTGACCATGACAGGAGCCTTTATTGAAAGAACTGCCCTGGCACAAGACAAGGCTCGCAGGACTAGTCACTTTGACAAGCACGTGGATTGGCAGCGGATATAGATTCCCCGCAAAAGAATAGAACGGTCACTGCAGAACGCCTAGCATTGACAAACAGAAAACAAATACGCATAGTAAATTGAACAAGGCGACACTGCCCAAATTTATATCAAGATGTTACGCAAAGACGCTCCATGGCTGATAACATGGTGTCCACAATGCCATTTAAATTCAAAGTCCATAACTAAAAAGTCAGTCTGCTCAGCGTTGGTGTCCTTTAGCAGAAATGCTCGCGTCGCGCATTAATGCGTCATGGCTGATAGGCGGGGTACATGATGTCTATATTACTGCGCCGATTCTGCCACAACAGATCGTTCAACGCATCGCGCATGGCAACCTTCGCAGACACTGCTAAGATGATTAGCTTTGCCACTAAGCAGCAAGACAACACACCTGAGATAACTGTCCTGCTCTCAGGTCGTCGTTCTCGAAGCTCCGACGAGACAATGTCCGCAAGAGGTATTTCACCGGAATAAGCCGTGGCTCTGTCGCCGAATTTAACTTCATTTATATGCTCTGATTTGATGTAGATTGAGATGCGGAGATTCTACGTAGACAGGTAAGTATGGCAGTCACTGGCTGCATGGTCGACGTACATATTCTCCATCAAGCTTGTCTTCGTCGAGCGCCTCGTTCAACAATTTCTGAGCGGCGATGCCGACGTCTCGGAAAGGTCAGCACGCGCATTTCACATCCATCTTACAATTTCTCACCTCTCCTCTCTATCTGCCATACTAGATGAATCCTGCGCGTTGAAGTCGCGCGACCGTTTTGATTGTGAATCAGCTTCCGCAGATACGGCAAGTGCGCGGCAATGCCAAATCCAGTGGCCAGCATAACAACATTTTCATATGAATGTACTGGTAGCTGCTTTCCATGCGGACCGCTGAGCATTGCCCTGCGTGTGGTCGGGCCGTGGTTCGATAGAGCGAACAGATTTTTGGTGAAGCCGCCGCGAGGCTCGATAAACAGGTCGAGATGCTTCTGCGGCTTTTCAGACCAAGATATCACAGTGAAAGGATGTGTCTGTACGGCCGACCCCGGACTGGCCCACGGAAGCCAAAGGCTTATGTACTGTCCAGCTTTCACCTTCAGCGGCCTAGACAACTGCAGGCTTACTTTGATTGCGCCATTGTCGTATGCTATTCGTGCCGTAGAGAGCCCTGACCTATTCCGATACGAGATGCTGGCGAGCCAGAAGATAGAGGTTGCTGAGAATAGAGCTCCGCCAATGTACAGGTACAAGCGCGGAAACAGATCGGCGGATGAGGCATGCCGCCAAAGACCGTACACGAAGGCGAACGAAAGTATCTGGTGGATGCGCAGGGCGGCTTCGTACGAGACGCTTCGCAGTGCCAAAGGTATCACCTGCGCGCACAGACATAGAATGGACTGCCAATCTTTATTGTTAGAATTGGCCATACTTGTGCAAAGCAACATACCACCAAGGCAAACACATCTTTTGGTGTGTGCAGGTCCAGCCTTCCCTTTGCTGTGCCAGCTGCCGCGGCATGGAAGACCGCAAGAGCCACTGCGATAGCCCCCGCTGAAGCGTGAAGGCGTCGGCAGGATCGGAGCGACAAACCAAGGATATCCGCGAGTAAACCAAGGTATGGGCCTGCGAAGCAGAAGATAAAGTTGACGACGGAGAGAGTGCCAGAGCGAAGAGTAGCCTGATCCATGCTGGGGTGGGGAGCTACAATGCAAGAAATAGTGACCCCTACATACGCTAAAAGTAAAAAAGCATCGCTACGACTCCAACGATCAAGAAATTTGCCGCCGCGTACCACAGTTGGGTAGACCAAGTAGTCAGACGCTGCTTTTCTCATTGTATTGAAAGGTAGGAGCACAGATTTCAGCGCGAACGGACAATAAGCCTGTGTGAAACGGCAAATCGGAAGACGCAGAGCCAGTAGGCAAAGCAAGGCACCACAGGCCACGGAGTACAAGAGCGTGATGTCGTACATAGCCGCAGTAATGTAGGGAAGAAGGGATTCCAGTCGAAAAAAGTACGGGTTCGATATTTACATGGTTTTGCTAGCTGTGGCAACGGCCAGTAGCACACAAAAGGCTGTTTGTCTGATGTTTTCTTCGCTGCCACCGTCTGAATTCTCAATGTAAGTGCATACCGGCGTAGGTATATCTACGACACAACAAGTTGATGGCTGGCGGTGACTTTTGGCTTCAGTTTCACAGTTAACGGTTGCTATGCCGCTGCGGGTGGGCAAAAGCGACGCTGAAGTGCCGGATGGGTGGGAGTGCTGAGATGCAGGGCAGCTCAATATCGCGGCCGCCATCCCGGTCAACTCTCTGACTTGCCCTCCAAAAGCAGCTTCCAAACCAATCTAGCGATGTACTGAGTAGAAAGTTGACTGTGTATCGGTCGGTCACGTTTGGCTCTTCCACAAGCGCTCATTCAGCGTTCGAAAGTTTTAGGCCTCATAACCCCCTTACTGATTATGCCCACTACTAGCCTCCACCGTCGTCGACAGTCGCAAATATCTGCTCGACATGGCTTGGACGGTGGCACGTCGATTAAATTACGTAATGTGCTTGCAGTCACTGGGTGGCCGCTCACTCGATGCGGAGTCTCTGGGTAGAGCTTCGTCTGGTTGAAACCCATGGACCGTATAGTTTCTTGTTCGCCCCGAGGAAATTCCCCAGGGCTGTATCGGAACCGCTTCGCACATGCAAGTTGGTGAAGATCGAGTGCGCAGGCGGAAGGCAGTTCAAAAACGCACTCGGATCCACTCAGGCGAAGAACGACTACCTAATCACCTAGCTGCTGCATTTGATATGAGCTGTCGCCATGACTTGCCATTGCATCGCTTTGCATCTTGCGCCGATGCGCTTAGCTGGCAACTCGGCATAATCGTCGGAAGGCCAAGCCGGCAGCAGTTTTGCGGATCCATACCAGAAAAGTTTTGAGGGTCTGTCAAATGCCAGAAATTCGGTAATAGTGACATGGTACATGCATTGTAGATGGGTAGATGCGACCTCTCCACGATTCAGCCATCAAGATGACTAGGAACGTAATAAGCATCGAGAATCTCATCAAGAGGTTGAAGAAAGCAGACTTCTACAAAGTCTTCAACTCGTCCATACTTTCATTTAGAGGGCTTACAGCTCAATTTCGTGGCTTTAGAACGGCGGCGCTGGCCGGGGGGGGGGGGTACAGCAAAAACTCGCTAAGATTTTGTTGGTTTTGTCGGCACAACCATAAACCGTCTTCCGGCACAGCACCGCCAGTCGTAATGGTACAATTGGTACCACTAGTTACAGTCACGTAAGAGTTACACAGCCTGCGGTCCAGACCCAGGCCATACCAAGACGCAGAAAAAGGGATAGCTGGCGACACCCACTTCCATTGTCCCCGGCTGTTCCTCTTTCTGTAGCTCTCTTTCTGTAGCTCTGTCGCTCTGCTCCTTCTCGGTAGACACCGTCATCCAGGTCATGAGAAAAGAAATCATGACATATGTATTAACACGGTATTATAAAGACATACAGATAGATTGGAATTTTCGGCTCTGCAATGGGCTGAATGCTTTTTTGCAGGGCGCGAGGACAGGGTGTGTCACCACAACCATGGAGCTGTAGCCTGTTTGCTGTTTTAGCCTTGATGTTCTGGTTGCGCCTACAAAACCAAGAATGAAATGCGCGTGCTGAAAACGCACTGATGGACAAGCCCGCCGACGATGACACCAAGCGCAAACAACTGCAAAAAATGAGGCGGGATACGATGCAGGTTCTGCAGGATATTCTGTGACCCAGGCCGATTGCAAAAGAGTTTTTAATCAATTGTTTCTGTCCCGGTCACCGGTGCATACGCTCCAGTTCATGTCCAGCCTCCTCCCATTTCGCTGCAAAAAAATTCCAAATGAGGCGAGTGGGGTAGGCGCGGGTGAGCTGCCACCGTCTGAACTTTTTAGCCCCTGTCACTCGTCAAGAAGTAATGTCAGAGCTACCAATGGACTGCTCGACTCCACTAACTACATCCACGCCCCCCAGGCCAGAGTAACGGGTGAAGCTGGGTCCCGTCAGGATCAGCTCCATGAACGGCTCAACAAAGCGGGAACAGGCCAGTGGGTATTGTATCACAGCTTCGGCATAACCAGGTGATACCGTCAAACCGTTATGGGTGTCGCGGGTTTCTAACATAATGATTTTAGTAGGGTGTATTTTGGCTGCTGCTAAAAGTAACTAGAAGCACTAGCGACACCCATAACGGTTTTTACGGTAGACTTGACATGTCGATATATCGCTAGGGTGTTTCTTGGGTTCTGAGAAAGTTGCCATTTATGACCCAGTAGCAGGGACTTGTAGATGGTCCGTGCCAGTATACAGTGCTCCAAAAACGGTCGCGATACCACGGGCAGAACGGCAACTGGAAATGGCTTCAAACACCTTACATTCACAAAATACTTCTACTTGGTCGTCGAGAACAGAACAGCCTGAACCGGAGCATACAAAGTTCAACTTCCGTCAACGATTAAGACTGTTACGCACTGTAGCCTGTGAGCATTGGCTGCTCGGGTGGACGGCTTCTCTGGACGTCCAAAAAAGCCTGCGAAAGTTTTCTTGTCCGTAAATCTTGGGTGAATCTGCGATTTACGCGGGTTATGGTCGACTTTCCATCAAGTTATGGCGTTACTCCTGTCCAATGCGACATTCAAAGGCATTTAAAATACCACCATTCCCTGGGCACAACACAAGCTTCAGACCGCTCTGTCTTCTTGCTTAAGATTATACGATGAATACAACTACTCTACCCAAGAGTCGTGATAGGACACGGGACAACCTGATGAGAGCTATACTTCGCACGCTCCGAAGGTGCGACCAACTCAGCCGCCGGTACAGCGCCGACGTCTACGTACTCGTTCGGTGGAAGAATAAGCACTATGAGTATCGCTCTACGGATGAAGCAGCATTTCCGATCCCTCCAATGGACCTAGTAAGTGGAGTAAACGAGTTATGCCATAATTCGAAACTGAATGGCTTGAAGGACAAGGTCTATCCCCCTGTACTGAGGAGGACGCCAGGGGATTTTCGGGATGTTAGTCTAGAACATGCAAATTGCTGAAAAACGATAAAGCTTTGGGTACTGTATAGTATACGTGACGTATTTCAGCTATTCTATTATATGTTTTCCTTTCCGAAATCCATGGACGGCCGTTTTTCACAGTAATCCGCGAGAAGATTTTATTAGGATGTAGCGGATTCGAAACTATTATATGGATGAGTGAGTCTGTGTAATGACCCTTTTATTGTGGATACTGCATGGCAAGCTCGTTCTCTGTTTTTTAATAGACGCAGTGATACGCTTAGTTCCGGTCATTTGACGCAGTTGCAGGCTCGCATTTCAAGCTGATTTAAGGACCTATGAAAGCTGCGCGCATAGTGAGGTATCTTCGGTCTCACCAGGTTTTGCGGCGGCTGGTGGAGGCCATCGTCACAGCCCACAGCATTGGTCCGTGCCATGTTCTTTGTAAGAGCTGCCAACGTCACTACTGGGAGCCGGTAGCCGATCGCTGATCGATGTTCCTGGTGCCAGACACCGTGTGGCATTTCGAGAGCCGACATGGCTCAGCGCAGCCCCTCACGTCAGCCGGTGGAGGCCAGGCATCAAAGTCTGGGATCAATCGTGGCCCACCACAAACCAGCCGCTGAAGGGGGAGGGTCTTGGGGTCTCGACTGTGGCCCACCGCCGACTGATGCGATCCGTTGGATCGGAACAGCGGACGGACGGTGGCACTCTCGATCGCGGCGCAGCCTCCAGCCCTACACTAACCTCAACCAGCAATACTTGGCATGTAAATCAACTGCAGGGTCAAATAATTACTGTACAGTACGAATCGGGTGCATTAATACAGAAAGGATTTGTGAATTCGGAACCTAGGTTTGAAGGCTCACAGCTGTTTCTTCCAACGCCAGCATGGACCTCTTATTAGAGGGAAAAGCCATCAATCTGCCTGCCCACACAGTTGGCGCAGATAAGACATGCTCTCCGCATTGTGGTAAATGTACCAAGGTCATCTTTGGGCCCCCAGTCCGCGCCGCAAGACAAAGTCTTGGGAAAATGGACTTGAAAAGCCTAGGTATACTGTAATACGGTACATCGAGAAAAGGATAAGAGAGTAAAAAACCTACCTACCGTGGAATCCTGCGGTCTCATGGCGGTTTCCGTCTCGGTATGTGCATCAACGATGAACAAGGACGCTACGCTGCAGTGCCTGGCTCCACTGGTTGACGGAGGCTGCGGTGAGACAAGTCAACTGTGTCTGGCCAAAAAAAGGGGAGACAGGGGACTTCACAGGGGTATCAGAGAGCACACTGGGCGGCTAGCACAAAGTAATGTGAGGAATGGCAACCAGGAGAGCTGCTGACAAATTCGCTGCAGTTAGTAGGCGAACATAGAGGATAATCCGCTGCCTGCTAAGCAGCCTGAGAAGAGCAAGCTCTTGGGAACCAGGGAGTGAGGGGGGCAAGGGTATTTCGAAGAATCGAGGATACCACCAAATCTTCTGCCCTAGTATAGCTTCTCCCCACCAGCTGCTCCACCATCAGTGTATGGTAATGGCTCAAGAAGCTCATAAGAGTCAAATTCAGATGAACGTTTTATCAAGAGTAGAAACTGACCTAAGGATTATTCTTCAGAAAGGCGAAATTAGCGCCCCATGTCTTT